CCATCAGATCTAGTGTGTCATTTAAGGTTGCCATTTTCTTGTTGATTTTTTTTTTTGTCTGGAAGATCTATCCAGTGATATCAGTGGGGTGATAAAGTCCCCTACTATGACTGTATTGCTGTTGATCTCTCCCTTAAAGTCCTCCAGAGTCTTGCTGCTCTGATTGATTTTTTTCCTACCTTGTCTTCTAATTCACTTATTTGATACTCTGCTTCTTTTAACCTACTGTTTATGTCTTCCAGGATATTCTTTATTTCAGATATGTTATTCTTCATTTCCAAGTAGTTGTTTACCATGGTTTCTATGTTATTTGTCATGCTGTTGAACATTTTTAAAACAATTACTTTATACTCTGTTACTAGTAAATTGCTTGCTTCCATTTCATTTAACTCTTTTTCTGTAAATTCCTTTCGTTCTTTCATTTGGGGCCTGTTTCTTTATTTCCCCATTTTTTGCTGTTTCTTTGTGTTTGTTTCTATGTATGGATAGGGCTGTTATGACTCCCAGTCTTCATGGGGTAGCCTTCTGTAGTAGTTGTCTTGTGCAAGCCAGTTGTGTAGTCTTCTTCTTTTTTTAATCTTTTTATTTTTAATTTTTATCTCAAGAAAAATGATCTTAAATATAATATTACATGCAATAAACATTAATATTTCAAGAAAAAAGGGATTTTAAGTATAATATTACCAAAGCTGTACTAGTATGATATTACAAAGATTGTAGGAAATATTAAAAATCTGCAAATTGCCCTAACCGGTTTGGCTCAGTGGATAGAGCATCGGCCTGCGGACTGAAGGGTCCCAGGTTCGATTCCGGTCAAGGACATGTACCTTGGTTGCGGGCACATCCCCAATAGGGGGTATGCAGGAGGCAGCTGATCAATGTTTCTCTCTCATTGATGTTTCTAATTCTCTATCCCTCTCCCTTCCTCTCTGTAAAAAATCAATAAAATACATTAAAAAAATCTGCATATAACAGGATTACTTCTGTTATGTTCTTAAGATATTATTTTTTCCCTCTGGCTCTATTTTTGTTCATCAGTTTATGTTGTTCATTATATTCCACAAATGAGTGAGATCATGTGATGTTTACCTTTCTCTGACTGGCTTATTTCACTTAGCATGATGCTCTCCAGGTCCATCCATGCTGTTGCTAATGGTAAGAGTTACTTCTTTTTACCACTTCGTAGTATTCCATTGTGTAGATGTACCACAGTTTTTTAATCCACTCATCTGCTGATGGGCACTTAGGCTGTTTCCAAATCTTAGCTATTACAAATGGTGCTGCTATGAACATAGGGGTGCATATATCCTTTCTGATTGGTGTTTCTGATTTCTTTGGATATATTGCTAGAAGTGGGATTACTGGGTCAAATGGGAGTTCCGTTTTTAATTTTTTGAGGAAACTCCATACTGTCTTCCACAGTGGCTGCACCAGTCTGCATTCCCACCAGCAGTGCAAGAGGGTTCCTTTTCCTCCGCATCCTCTCCAGCACTCGTAGTTTGTTGATTTGTTGATGATAGCCATTCTGACAGGTCTGAGATGGTACCTTATTGCCGTTTTGATTTGCATCTCTCAGATGATTAGTGACTTTGAGCACGTTTTCATATGTCTCTTGCCCTTCTGTATGTCCTCTTTCGAAAAGTATCTATTTAGGTCCTTTGCCCATTTTTTTTATTGGATTGTTTATCTTCCTTGTGTTAAGTTGTATGAGTTTGTGTTGTCTTCTTAATCTTCTGAGTGAGATGCTCTAGGAATGTACCATGTGGATTATGTGGGCCCTCCTATTATAATTGTGTCTCAACTGCTGTTGTCTGTTCATGGGTGGGCTTAGCTCGTGGGCTGGATGACTGTGAGCTCAACCCCAACGACATCATAACAACTGTTACACAGGTGCTGACAGAACAGAACAAGACAAAGCAAGCCAAGCTGAAAACAACAAGAAACAACAAGCCAACAACCACAAAACCAAGAATAATTAGGAGGAAAAAAAAATACAGAAAGACTAGAGACCAAAGATTTAGAAAATAAAAAAGAAACAAAAGAAGGGAATATGAAAGAAAAGAAAAGAAAAAGAATAAGAGTAAAAAAGAAAAGTAAAAAAATATTAAATGAGATAAGTGTTAAAAAGTAATAATAATGAATAAAATAAAATATAGAATAGGAAAATAATAAATGAAAAATAAAAAAGGAAAAAAAAGAAAAGAGAAGGAAAAAGTAGAATAAGAAAAGGAAAAAGAGAAATAGAGATATTAAAGTTTTATTGGTGGGGTGGTCTCCGTGTCCCCACTTGTTATTGAGTGGAATTGGCCTTCTTTGGGTGCCATGGGAATAAGAATATCTTGAGGCCCCCACAGGAGGATGAGATATCAAAAAAAGCGTTATTTTGGTTGAATTAGACCCCTGTGTTCCAAGGTCCCATCTCCCTCTCTCTTGCCATGGGAGATATCTAGCTTTGTCTTTAGTGGACCTGGGATTAAAGCCGTTGCCCAGAGTTTCACTGCATTTGCACAGTTCAGTCCTGCATCTCACTAGGTTAGCTTGTATTCCCAGCTACACTCCATTGCATGTGGGGTTTGCTTGGCTATGGGCCATGCAGCTCCCAGGGCCACATGGTTATGGAAGGAGCACAGGCGAGTGCAAGGAAGCAAGAGTGAAGCAAGAGGAACAAGAGAAAGAATTCCTTTGTCTGCAAATTATGTATTCCAGATTTTCACAGGCTTGCAGTGGCTCCACCCCTAGCCAGTTATATTTGTTCCAGGTTAGCCTGACAGGCAAGTACCGTCCCTACCTTACCTCGCCTTCACTGTGTAAGCATCCATCTTCCACTTTGTTGGGCCCCTTCCCCTGTGATTTGCAGGGATTGGGCCAGTGCTTCCCTGGGAAGTGCAGAGTTGCAGCTCCCAGGTGAAGCTGCCCAGATGACCATGCTTATCATGTCCGGTAGACCCTTTGCCCCAATCCTGTTAATATTAATAACTAGCCAATTACAATGGTGACAAAAGTGAAAAGAGAGGAAACAAATTTTTTAAATGAAATATAAAAGAAAAATTAAAGAAAATATTAAAATTAAAAAGTGTTCTCCTCCATAGGTTTTAGTGCCTACTGTGTTCACCTTTGGATCTGCTGTTTGTGGAGCCCGCTGGATTTTGCTCCATGTTGTCAAGTTGGCCACTTGGTGTGCTGGTCTCAGCCCTCACTGGAGGTTCTCTGGTGCAGGCCAATGGCAGTCATTGTCCCTGCCTGGCCCTTAGCAATTTGACTGATGCTTGGCAATTTGACATCTGGTGTACGGGGCCTCTGGAATCCAGAGGCTGGTCTGCCTCCAGTACGCAGCTAGAATGTCTCTGCTCTGAATAGCTCTTCCTTTGCCCATGGACCTGCACTCTGCCTTCCAGACCTAGCCAGTGGTTTGTAGTCTGTTTAAACCAGATTACATGCCTGTAACCTGTAGGAAGGCGGTCACTTCCTTTTCTTCCTAGCAAGGGGCTCGCTGAACTCACTGGGGAACTTGGATCTGCTTCCCTGTCATGCAGCCCAAGGGCTGAGCACAGGCCCATCTGTCTCCCTGACAGAAGCGCACTCAAGATACACAGTTGCATTGCCTTAGCTCTGCCTGGCCTCTTGGCACCTTCTTGTCGCCACACCCAGTAGGGCATGTTTAAAAGAAAAACAAGGCCTGAAGTAGTTTCAGAGGAAAATAATATTGTGAAAACAAAGCTCATATTAAATATTTGAGAATTTAGAGATTTGGGAATATTTGTTCAAAACTAGAAAATTTTAGCAGAAATCATATTTCTACTTTTTAATGTGGTTGAAATTTAATGCATTGTGCGTTTTGCAAATTTAATGCATCATGAATTTAACTTTAATCATGATAAAACATAGCCATTACAGTATTTTGGAAAGAACATTTTTTTTCAGCATGTTTTTGTCTTAACATAAGAACCAACTGTAATTATGTGTAATGTGAATGCAGTACTTTTTAAATTGCTGTAGCTATGACTTCTGATTAAAACATTGTTTTTCACACCCATAAAACACATTTTCCCTAGTCTTAAATGTTCAAACAAAAAAATTCTAAATTATTCATTATGTGTATTGTATGAAACTAAAGGAAAATTTAATTTTTTTACAGTGGATTTTTAAAATGTAGTTTAAGATTAGGAAACAAGATTTTAAAAATCTTATTTAAGACGTTAAGCGCCCAGCTGGTGTGCCTCAGTGCTTCTGGTTGACTGATGAGGTCCGGACGGAAAGTATAGTGTCAGTCACCGGAGACTGACATGGTGCTTAACATGTTAATCTTTATTGGAAAAGATGATTTGTCAACAGTGTAAAACTTAACTGTCTACTGGGACTTTCAAGAAATAGGAGTCCTGTAGTGTTATGGAGCTAAAAAAAAAAAAGTGATGTTGAAGAGGCCAATTAAAGTCAACATAAAAAGCAGGCAGTCGGTGCAGGAAAAAGAAAAATAAGTATATTTTTTCCAGCCAAGGTCTTTTCCCCAAGATTTTTGTTTCTATTCATGTTCCTAAGGAATAAGGTTTATTCAACCAATGTGTAAAATACACAAAAGGAAGAGCAATGCAACTAGAACTGATTGCACTTTTTTTAAAAAATATATTTTATTGATTTTTTACAGAGAGGAAGGGAGAGAGATAGAGAGTTAGAAACATCGATGATAGAGAAACATCAATCAGCTGCCTCCTGCACATCTCCTACTGGGGATGTGCCCGCAACCCAGGTACATGCCCTTGACCGGAATCGAACCTGGGACCTTTCAGCCCGCAGGTCGATGCTCTATCCACTGAGCCAAACCGGTTTCGGCTGATTGCACTTTTTAGTGGAAACATATTCAGGGTCTGAGGTGAGTAAAAGCCAGAGGCTTTGTGATAATGATAAATCAATTATAATATTCATTGCAATAATGTTACTACCTTTATTTCTTTCTGAAATTTGTGTTGCATATCTTTTACCTCCAATTTCTCCTGCCCTTCTAGAGGCTCTCCCTACAGAGAATCTCCTTTGGGTCATTTTGAAAGCTATGGAGGGACCCCCTTTTTCCAGGCTCAGAGAATGTTTGTAGATGTACCTGAAAATACAGTGATACTGGATGAGATGACCCTCCGGCACATGGTCCAGGATTGTACTGCTGTAAAAACTCAGTTACTCAAACTGAAACGTCTGCTGCACCAGGTGAGTTTATAATGAACATTTTTGACTTTTGATATCTGAGTTGCAAGATGTATTAACATAACTTTAAAATTTTTAAATTGGGTTTTTAATGTCTATTTACGTTTCTGTAAAAATAATACTTATAAATAGTACTTAATAGCCCAGCTGGTGTGCCTCAGTGCTTCTGGTTGACCTATCAACCAGAAGGTCACAGTTTGATTTTTGGTCAGAGCATATGTCTGGGTTTCAAGCTTGATCCCCAGTTGGGGGCAATGCAGGAGGCAGCCGATTAATGATTCTCTTAATCATTGATGTTTCTATTTCTCTCTCCCTCTCCTTTCCTCTCTGAAATCAATAAAAATGTATTAAAAATACTTTTTTAAATAGTGCACAATAGAAATTTTTGTGGAAGAAAAAAATATAGGAATTTATATATGGTCTCCATACAGTCCCCAACATGTATGAGCTGTGTAATATTGGATAAGCCAATCTCTCTGCTTCTGTTTCCTCATTTTTATAGTACCTGCATTGTAAGGTTACTAAGAGAATTAGAAACAGTAGTTGTAAATTGAGAGATTTAATACCTGAAACATGGTAGGCTTTCAGTCATCAGTAACTGCTACTAATTTCGGCTAAATGGGACTAAGAAAGAGCAGTTTTTATTTACATCTATATATATATATAGAAGCCAAGCGACCAGAACGACCAGGACGACCAGTTGCTATGACGTGCACTGTGGCCCGATTGGGGCTCGCCGCAACATCCCGCGGTCCCTTCCCCCCTGCTGGCCCAGCCTGATCGGCCCCCACTGGCGGACCCCACCCGTGCACAAATTTGTGCACTGGGCCTCTAGTAATCATATAATTGTAGTTTTGTTTGAAACCTTCAAGTTTAATCTTTCTCCATCTTATTTTTTTATTTGAGAAAATCTAGACTCATAACAGTGATGTGACTTCTCAAAAGACACGGGGTGAGCTGATGTTTGAATCTGGCTTCTGATTCAATAGCATTTTTTTGGTTTGAACATATAACACTTAAGAGACAAGGTCAGATGCATAGCAGAAAACTTAGGAATAAAACACTAATTTCAAAATGTGGATATCTTTTGTTTAGTTTTAAATCTATATTTGTCTTTTATAGACTAGTCAAATTTTGCATAAATTAATGTTGAGAAAGAACATTCTGGCTTGCTTGCTCAACTTATTTTCTCATCTTCCTCAGGGTTGTGTGTTCTAGCTAATTCTGAGCAGGGACCAAGTTTTAGAGCTTATGATGGTAATAAAACCAAACTCAAGCCATATGCTCAGAAGTGAAATATGGCTCTGCTATGTCAGCAATGATGATTAGTAAAAGTATTCTGTTACAGTCATGTAAATTATTTTATATTATTTGGTTATGGATTTCCTGGACTCCTCTTCTCCATGCTTATAGAGATTGGACCTTTCTGTGCTAAGGCTGGAGTGAACACGTGGAGGATCCTTTGCAGAGATCCCATTCTTGGACTCCTTTCAAGACAGAAAGGATTTCAAGTTTGAAATATACAGACATAGAGCTTAGAACAGGGGTGGGCAAACTTTTTGACTCGAGGGCCACAATGGGTTCTTAAACTGGACCGGAGGGCTGGAACAAAAGCATGGATGGAGTGTTTGTGTGAACTAATATAAATTCAAAGTAAACATCTACACTAATAAAAGAGAAACATGGTAATTAGCATACGACCGCTACCCTTCCCATTGGCTAATCAGCATATCCTTATGCAAATTAACTGTCAGCCAAGATGGCGGCCGGCAGCCATGCACTGAAGTGAGCAGGGAGGCTTGCTTGCTCCAGTGATGGCAAACTCCAACGTTCCCTGCCTGACTTGCCGGCCTCTCAGCTGCAACTCTAAGCAACTATGTTGCAAATATAGAAGCTAAACAAAACCCTAGAAACTGGCTTTCAGTCAGCCGGGCTTCAGCCAGCCGGACCACAACATTGTATCAAATATGGAAGGTAAAGGCCAGAAACCTTCTTTCAGCAGCAAGGCCTCAGAGCTAAAGCTGGCCCAGAATATAAAACACAAGAAAAAAAAGAAAAACAGGGAGCGGTTGGAGCTTCAGTCACCGGCCAGCCTGAAAATGGCATCAGCCCCTCACTCAAACTGGCAAGCACCCAGTGGGGGACTCCCACGCTGATCAGAACACCCTTTCAGGGAAACCAGGCCGGCCGCAACCCAGTGCCCGGGCCTCTATTCATATA